CTGGGGGGTGCTGTGTGTGTGTGTGAGGGGGCTGTTAGGGAATTTATTTTAAATAAAAAAATTTTTATTTATTAATAATAAAAAAAAAAGTTATGTCCTCCCCCCCCCCTCCCTTCTTACCTTTATCCTGGGAGGGGGGAGGAGGAGATCCGTTCTCACATGCTTCCCTGGCGGTCCAGTGGTGAGAGTGAACTCTAACCTGCGGGTTAGAGTTCACTCTCGCGAGAGCTGAGCGTTGCCGTGGTAACCGCGGCAACGCTCAGAATCCCGAGAGGACCCGGCGGAGCTGCTGGTTAGAGCTCCGCCGGGTCCTCCCTCACCCAGCCGGCGGCCGCATCTCCATTCCTGTGGGCCGATGAGGGAGATCTTTGATCTCCCCACCGGCCCATGGAGGCGCACAGCAGGGCAGGCGCTCGGGTAGCGCTGGCCCTGCACGGTCTGGCAGGGGAGATCCTGTGATCTCCCCTGCCGGCCTCGGCCCCACGGCCATCGCGGCCCACCGGGCATTTGCCCGGTATGCCCGATGGCCAGTCCGGGCCTGCACAGATGTATACACATTATGGTTAACTGAATTCCCACAAAGCCACAAAGTTTGTTACAAATAACCAACCATACTGCTGTCATTAAAAAGGCTTACCTACCCCCATCCAATCCCACCAAAAATGAGTATTTCATAAAATGCACAAAACTACAGCAGTGAAGTCAGTTCCTGACGCTGAAGCGGACCTGTTTAGACAAGATTGCGGCACCCATGAGGGACAGGTTCAGGTAAATCAAACTCACCTTTACCTGGCCTCCCTTCGGCCACCAACCCCCTAGCAGCGATATCATCCCTGAAGGTCTTTGCAAAGTCCCCAGACGATGACCGTTTTTTTTTATATATATATAAATTAGCCTTGTAAGCCCTATGGCAAGTCTTCCTATTTTGCAAGTCAAAGGGATAGGGTGCAGAACACCCCTTGCACCGCCTTGGTATACTTGTGTTTGTGTGTGTGTCGATGTATATACACTTGAATGTGCCTGTGTATGTTGACGTCTGTGTGATTTTGTTGCTAATAAACGTCTTGTGTATTAAGTTATTTGTGGATATTTCTGTATGCACATGTAGCCAATGAGATTTTTGTAAGTGGCTTGTTCCGTATTTGTTGGTAATCATGGATATTATTAGGTTGTATATAATAACCTTCAATGGAGCTCTAATGATCTTGTATTTCTGCATATAAAGGTGGACTGTTACAATTTCTTTAATGAGTGGCACATGTTTTAAAACTCTTCAGTGTAGCATTTCATCAAACAAAAATGATGTTGCTCAGTTATCTTTATCCCTATTTTCAAGAGAACAGTTTCTATCTCTGCGTCTGTTTCTTATCCTTGTCTGTTTGCATTTTGTTTTTCACTGTGTGCTATTATCTTTTCTCCTGGTTGTACGGTACCACTCTCTCTCCCTTGATTCCCTGCTTTGACATTCTAACTTTGCTCTTTTCTTGGACCAATGGATAATGTATTCAATCCCTTTAGAGTGTTCTAAGGGGGTGTTAGATGTTGCTGGAGTGGCTTTTTCCCTTCAGACTCCAAATGAAAGTGAGTGAAGAGATTCTTCCCTGATAACTGCTTTTGATGTGAAGGAGATTATTATTGCTCCACACATTCTTATCCCTGGGGCTATAGAAATGAGAGTTTTGATGGGGAATTTAAAGAGACATTCACAAGTTGCCGAACAACTAGACGTGAAGATCAGGTTCTGAGGAACATCTGATACAGACTGTTTAACAGAGACAAAGACAGTCTTTTAACGTTTTCTGTGGAAAACAAACAATGCTAAATAATGGGTTTGGGTTCTATGGGAACTATAATCTGTCATCAATGTTTTGTGAAAATCATATATGTTTGAATAACGAGTACTTGGGGCTGTATTTAATGTGTTAACAATACTTATTATTGCAATATGCTTTAACATATTCACATAACACGTCAATGTCCAAATAGTGCTTTCAAAATGTTGAGTCCTGCCATTACAGTAAGTCCTCCTTTTAACCTTCACACTGCTCTAACACACTCTACATCGCTTAAACATTAGTCCCTGTACTATATTTACACCTATCACTAAACCTTAACCAGTACAGTACACTATCACTAAACACTAACTCCCTACACTTAACTAAAACTACCACTAAACATTAACCAGTACAGTAGACTATCACTAAACACTAACTCCCTACACTTAACTAAAACTACCACTAAACATTAACCAGTACAGTAGACTATCACTAAACACTAACTCCCTATACTTAACTAAAACTACCACTAAACATTAACCAGTACAGTACTCTACCACTAAACACTAACTCCCTACACTTCACTAAAACTACCACTAAACATTAACCAGTACAGTAGACTATCACTAAACACTAACTCCCTACACTTAACTAAAACTACCACTAAACATTAACCAGTACAGTAGACTATCACTAAACACTAACTCCCTACACTTAACTAAAACTACCACTAAACATTAACCAGTACAGTACACTATCACTAAACACTAACTCCCTACACTTCACTAAAAATATCACTAAACATTAACTGGTACAGTACACTAACACTATCATTAAACACTAACTCCCTACACTCCACAAACCCTAACCTAAAATTTCACGTGATTTAAAATATAAATAATTTGTGTAATAGGGGGGAAAATGCTATTTATGATTTCCATAATACATGATCCATTGTTATACATCCCATATACATTTATAAATGAAGGTTCGAGGCTCTGGTAATGTCGTAATAAACCACAAGACTGAAGGTCAAATGATTTCTGAGTGTCTACTAGTGTAGGCTTTTCCATAGTGGCAGTTTATGCAGCACCTTCCCCATTGTTGTTAGAAAAAAACATGTTATGTCCAGCATTATTATTTTATTAGACATAAAAGTGCCCCATTCTCTGTGTACAGACCCTTCAGAAATGCTTATCCTACTCTAATGGGATTCCGTCCTCAAACCTTACCTAACCTAGGTGTGAGGAATGCCTATAGTTAATTTACTAACCGATATCCGTATCACAAGAAATTACGCAACTTTACAGCACACACTGATGCCGGAAAGACACACCCAAAGACTACACATTGACATGCATGTGTCATTCTATCTATGCCATACAAAGACTATATGTGTGTTTCTGCACTTGGGTGTTTGAGACATAGGTTACCCACAACCAATTAAATATGTTTCAGAATGCAATGGATCTGTTTCATAAACCACTTTTATGAAATGAAAATCAAACCGAAAAGGCCAAAGGTGATAACAAAGACCTGAGGAATCGGTAGAAAAGAATCATTCCTATTTTTGGCCCAGCTATGGTTTTCAGGCCACTATCATTAATGATCTAGTATTTCATAGCCAATAAGGTACACATTAGCATAGTTTTGAAAAGAATATAAAAACAGAAATATCCATTCATTTAAAAAAAAAAAAAAAAAAAAATACATACGGCAAAATATCCATTATCTATAATGCAGAAACTTTGTAAAATGAATACAGATAAATTATTGAATGCATTGCAAGAAAGATTGATTCCCTTTAGAACATAAACACCGTGACTTCTGAATTCATTTGTTAAATAGGATTCCAACTTGTATTCTCATTGACTGTTTAAAGCTAATTGCTGTGTTTTTGTGATCTTCAACTTCCGTAAAACTGCCCTGGCCTGTTTTGACTTCATTTTGATTGGTTATTGTCATTGAACAGATATTGCAAGAAATTTACAAGCCCCGATGCACTGTAGTGATTTTAGTGTAGGAAAAATTAGCACAATACAAATGTGCGTAGAATGGGAAAATCCAGGCCGTGAGAGGTCCGTGAAATATAGAAAAACAAACAAACTAAAACAAATACTTTTTTCTTCACTGCCATGTGATACTACATTTTAAAGTAAACTAAAAAATGAATTCTCGCTTGCAAAGGAAAATCACTCTGAGCCAAATTGTGTGCAAAATTCTAAAATATTAGACAGTCTTAGCAACTATAACACTGATGTTAAGGTGGATTTTATTGCTCTTATCTCTGATTTGTCCTTCCTTTTTACAAATGATAGGTGAGTAAAACATTGACTCTAATAAAATTGATCACTTTGTCTCTAGTGTGGAGCAATGAATATTGACAATTACTGGCTCCTCACATTAAGTACTTCATAAAAAAAGACATTACTCAAAAGGTATGTCATCAATATCTTGGTTATAGTTTTGTACCGAAGGGCTAGGTCAAAGTGCTGACTCCAATGCTTTTTGATCATTCTAAAAAAATCATAGCAACTGGCGGAATAATGACAATTATGTTCCAATTTTAGAGTAAAAGAATAAAAAATGTTTTGTTACTTGGGGTATAATTGTTGAGTATATTGGTTTTCTGTATACTTTAACTGAATGTTTGAAAACAATCCCAAATAATCAGAAATTAATTAAAACAAATCTTTTGATAATCACCCCAATGGCTAATATTGATAATTCCAACTGCATTTTTTCTAAATATCTCAACAAAGAGGCAGTAGCAAAATATGTTGACAAGAAGTGGTTATTGGCATTAAAAATATTAATCCATATGGGCAGAACCTGACTAGCAAGCAGAGTGGAAGCATGCAAAATGAGCTCCTGAGCAACACCTGTTAAATAAGCTATATTTCTGCCAAACTAAAGTTTTCAGCTCCGAGAAGTTACTCACCGCATAGTGGGGAATCTGGTGACTCGATCAGTACCGGACTCTGCACTATCCTGAACCGGACTACACTCCCTCACTTGCTGCGGTCCTCAAGCCTGTCAGATGTCGGAGGGACGGCCACTCCACAAGACGCAACATCCTGACACTCTGAGCGGACATCGGTGCTCCCACTCCCCACCCCCTCTGAACCGGCGAAGGTCATCCCGGTCCCAGGAGGTCTCCCACCAACATTCTTGGCAACAGGGACTGCTCTGTCCGGAAACACCATGTGGCTTCCAAGATTACAGCGATCGCGGCCGGAGACACAGCCGAGCCCCAAACTGCCACTCTCACGACTAAACTGGATCTCTTGTTTCAGAGGTTCTGGGCCACAATAGAAGCAAGACAGCAATCTGAGCTGACGACCAGCTCTCAAACCTCAGACACATCACCACAAACGACTCACCCACTCCAATCCACGTCATCCTTGAGGCCTCCTGGAAGCCCGACAAGCCGCAAAGCACCTTTGTCTCCACAGCAGAGACCAAAAGAACACAGCCCTGACCAGCTCTCAAGCCCTGACGCTGAACCAACCACAGAGCAAGGCCTACTTAAAGCCCAAAGATCAGGGACACTTAGTCTCCTAACTCCTCAAAATGGTGGCTCCAGTACTAGCACGGATCCGGGGACATCAGCTGAAGGCTCACTGTACGTGCTTTCAAGCGACATAAGCCTACCCCCGAGGTGTCTGAGTACCCATCCCCATCGGGGATCTGGTGAAAAGGCGGGGGACTCAGAGTGGCTGCCCCAAAGACACTTGTTCCTCCGGGCTTACTTTTCATATGGTGGACTTCTGTATGTATTTTTTATTTGTTTGTTTTTTGCATTGAATCCATTTGCTTTCAATCTTAACTGAATCTACCTAGCAAGTTCAAATGTCTCTCATAATTAAATTGTCAGGATATGTACCCAGATGTAACGCTAAGAATACTTACCCATCCACTGACATACCCTGCATAAGCACGTTTCACTACTTTAACATTGTGCAGTCATAGCCGATTATATCTTGCTAGCATATTATATTTTGATTTTATTACCTAATAAGCATAGAAGAATGTAATGGATCACCTGGCACCCCGACTGGGTACCTCCATGGATGGATGCTCCTAGCGCTTCTTGAGGATTCCAAGCACTCTAGCCGCCACCACAACCACCGCTGGCCAAACCTCTCTTCCTTCAGAGCGAAGCAGGAACGAGCTCTTAAAAGAGCTTAGGAGTAATTATAGCAAGGGAATATGCAGAGCATAGCAATTCCTTGTAGCAGATTCCTCCAAAAAGAGACAGGACTCTAAATTGAGGGTTACGTAGAACTGTCTAAAATTTTATTTTACTTGGGACTAGCCCATATGGTCATTACATTAACATTGCTGTGAAAACTCAATAAAATTACAAACAGTCAAATCATAGCAGGCAACATACAGTGACTTATTATAACATAATTACATATTTATAAATGGGTGGGGAAGACCATAATTAACACAAAATGTCTCTTCTGAATGCAGAATTACCGATATGCAAATCTACACGAATATGCAAATTACCAGTCTTGCTATTCAGGTAGTGCATATTTCTGTTGCTACCAACAGAGGGCACTACACAAGCTCCATAGCCAAATCCACCTAGTTGGTAGCAATCCTCAGCAGTACAGGAGAGCAGGCAATACATCCCACGGGCCATAGTCACATGGCAGGAGGCTGGCAATCAGTCTTCTCCAATGCCCAGTGGCGAGGCTGGTTCTGCCACAAAGACCTAGCATGTTCTTTACATTTGTTAGCAATGTTATGCCTAGTGATTTACTTTTTTATTTTATTTTTTAAAAATGTTACTATTTTTAACTCACACAAATACGATATGCCTCAGTTAATTAGGCTGGTGACACTAACACCTCACAATAAGTCAGTCTGTTAACCTGAATCAGTACCTCGTCTGCCTTACCTTACAACTGACGTGTTGTTTTAACCATTGTTGAAATTACTTTATAATACAAAAT